TCTCTCTCTCTCTCTCTCTCTCTCTCTCTCTCTCTCCCTGTGTGTGTGTGTGTACATATATACCACCAGAGTAGAAGCTCCTGCCCATGAAAGGCTATTTATAGATTACACTTAAATAAACTCTACTCAGAAGCCTCAGTCTCCCCTTCTGGGGCAGTTGCCCTTGAAGTGGCTTTTGAAAATAATCCACCGAATCTTTCTTTCTGAACACTGCCATCTCTGACAACACAATTCTTAAACTTCTAATTGTACTACACTAATTTATACATTAAACTGGCGAAATTATCACTTTTGCTAAGTTTTCAAGCCATGCTAGTATTGCTAGTAACGTGACTGTTGATCACTAGACTATAGATTTTAAAAAAAATTCTGAGCATAGTAAAATTACTTATTTTTAACTTAAACACAAAATTAAAGAACACATAATTCCACCGGGACCACAATTTGGGACCACCAAAGTAACTGAAAACTGGTTTTAAAACGGTTTAGCGATGTACGAAACAATTTGATGTTAGAGCACTCTCTAAAAAAGGGGACCTGTTTAAAGGGTAATTGCTGGGTCATCTCTGCACTAATTTATACAAAACTTCGAACAAATAATATCAAACCAAGGGGGTTTCAAGTTTGTAAACAGCATGATGGAAATCAGTCAATGAGTTCGAGAAAAATCAAGTTTTAAAAATGTGGACCAAAATTGGGTACAACGCAACTTTCCACTTTCAAAAAGCATTCAGCTACAGGGCTATGATCGACCCCCTTCTGGTTTCAAGATGAGAACGGTAAAACAACGACAGTCACATTAGATAGGTATCTAATCGTGCTGAGAAAGTTTTGTAGACGTTGAGGAAGAGAACGTGTTAGCTGTAGAGGTCTCGTTCCAGAGGGATGGGACCACTCCCACATGTCAAAAGTGGCCCTTGTTTGATTACAAGAAAGGTTTGGGGAATCTTTTATAAGCTGAACGTTAACAAATGAATTTACCCCCTCCCCACCCACCTTCCCAATTTGAACCCCTTCAATTATTACCTTAGGAGTTTCTTTTGACAGAGTCCACAAAAACAACCAACAATCAATCGAACATTTGAAACTCAAAATTGAACGGGACGTTCAAAATATTGACCCAAATGCATGCCACAGGGATTCAACATTTCCAATGGCATATTGGAGCTTTTACGGAGAGAAATAGTCTACACTTGGAGGCTTGATTAGCCATCGCCTCCATGGGTATATTTGGCAATATTTATTTTGTAATGAATTTGCTCTTTAATGCATAAATAGCGACTATTTGAAATAGAACAATTTTGTTGATTTTTAAGAAATTGCTAAATTATGCATTTCACTCAGTTTTGGTTGAAATATTTAAAGCTTGATATTTTCCAAATAATGGGTTGGTTGTATTTTCTTCATATTGACAGATGTAACGTCCCCCTGGTTAGATTTTATCTCTTAAAAAATGACCAAGCTATTGTAATTTAATTCGATTTTACCTTTTAAAACACTCGTTATTAAACCTAAGAGTTCCTCACTAACAGACCATTCCATCCATGCCAAAAACATTTACGTACCGGAGCAGGTCCAGATATGGTAGCCCTCAGCAAACGGGTTCTCACCAACTGCTCCTTGTTAGAGCCTCTGGAATTCGTAGTGTAGTACTTTTGGCTATCTCTATCGTACTCCTGGAACAAGGCACTTGTCACTGTGCACGTCAATGTAAAGTTCCTCGTAACGTACGGCTCGACAACCATTTCATTTTGCCGTAGATCCACATACGCTGCCTGCCTTTTTCGAGAATGTGACTGTGCGACGGTTACCAGGAGAGGTAACAGGAGCAGGAATTGACCTGACATGCTCTAGATCTGGTGATTACAAGAACGGTCAGAGAATTGGACGAGATAATTTACAAGTAATTTATGAAACAGTTCTAACGTTGCAGAAGTCTTCACGTTTAATGAGAAAAAAAAGGATAGGTTTTGCCTTTCTGCCTATCTGTGAGTGTGTGTTAGAAACTTTTCTCACACTTAACTCACCACTTGATTTTATGATTTTATGCCTTTACGTGTCCCTCTCTCCTCTTATCCATGCCCCTCCTCCTCTCTCCCTTTTTTTTTCTTCTTCTTCTTCTTCTTCTTCTTCTTCTTCTTCTTCTTCTTCTTCTTCTTCATCTTCTTCTTCTTCTTCTTCTTCTTCTTCTGTTATAATGAAGTAGCTGAGAGTTAGTTTTCGAGTAACAAGACGTACCAACAAAACGTGTTCTCTTGTGTGAAATATAGATTGGAAAGAAACATTTTTAATGAGAGCCATGACAGACGAGACTTCGCTACGTCATGTATGCAGGAGGAAAGCACGCGTGGCGTCAGATGACTAGAGCTATCTGTTGGGAATGCTCGGCTGATATCACAGGACCTGACATAAAAAAATAAGTATTCATTGCAGTAAAGACTGAGTTGCAAGGATTGCTTTAGCTTAACACACGGAAACAAACAGCTGCACCAGGAACTCGGAGGGACAGTGTTAAGATTTGTGGGACTCGTCTTTTTGTGAGAAACCCCGTTATATAAGATGCTTACGCGTTGAAAGATGAATAATTGTTAAGTGTCAAAGAAAACCAATAGAATCTGTTGAAAGAAGGAGAAGAGACACCTAGTTCTGGATATATGGCAGGCATGTACAAGGTCACCATGAAACTAACAGGAAAGTTTAAAAATCATCTGAAGTTTAGTCATATTCTGCAAGGTTGAACAAAGTGTTCTACTTTCAGGCAAAAAAGAGCAGACTACTCTTTTTAAAATCAGCTAACTTTTAACCACACCAGACCCCACCGTGTCCCTTGACATCCCGTCATCGGACACTCGTAGTTGTATTGATATGGCCAGACCAGCCATGAAGGAATTACTAACATAATCAATTGTTAGAAATCAGAAAAAGCCTCACGACCGGAAAGAATGCCACTGGAGACAATCAAAGAGGACCCCCAAAAAATTATCAATCTAGAATTTTCTATCGAAAATACTCCGAAACAAGGAAAAAGGGCCACCAATCGGGAAACAAGTACACTTTGTCAATTCCACACTGATAAAGAAAAGTAAACTCGAGAAATGTTGTTGACAAACTGTGGACAAATCCTCGGGCTTGATACACAAAAACTGGCTATGGATAGGGTGGGAAACTGAGAGAGGTTCAGATTGGGTTAACTTAAAGAAAGGCAAGCTATGCACAGACCACACGAAATTTTTAGGATTATAGTAGAGCATTCCATCGAATGGAAGTCGTACTTGTTTATCAGCTTTATTGACTTTAAGATAGCATGTGTCTACTTGAACAAAAAGCCGGCGGGGAAAAACACACAATATTGATATTTCAATAGAGTTTTTTTCTGTGATTCAGGGAATGTATGCTGTAAAGATCAACGGAGTTTTGACTGAAGAACAATTATTGTTGGAGGAAAAGGAACCAATTGATTTAAAGGCTATTGTAGAGCAAGATTACTTTCTGTTACTTTTCTGCTCTTATTTGAAGGTGTTAAAAAAATGCTGCCCGTATTTATTTTAAATACAACGATACAGAGAACATGCCTATGTTGAAGGCATGGAAACAGGTTTCAGAAATTCAGAGACATGTTTAACCAGGAAGCCATTGAGACTGAACATGTTGTGTTAAAGAAACAGGGGAGGACCAAGATCAGTATAGACGTGGAATGCAGATGAAGATGTCAAGAAACTGAAGGATAAAAATGATACCCTGAAGGAAAGAAGCGCTGCACGGGACGGAAATATTATTAGAGATTAATAGAGGATAGCTTATTTTACTTATGTACATGAAAGGCAAAGGATTGTCAAAAATACTCAGTTATGTAGCAGCTTGCGATCTTTACTCCACCCATTATTTCCCAAAAATAAATCTGGTCTCCGGTTTTAGGTTGAGTTTCTCACTTATTCTACTCCTATACCGTCAGGTACAAAAGGTAGAAAGCAACAGACGCCACACTTGCCTGTCCCTGGAAACAACCTCCAGTCTTGGCTCATCAAGGCCCTGGGTGGTTGGCTCATCTCTGATTGCGATTCTGTAACTTCCAGCTGGTCTACTTTTTCTTCTTTTTTTTTAGTTGGTCTCCAATACTATGTCGTGTATGATTCGGCAATCTGGGCTCTTGCATTTTCACAATATGACCTGATTATCCCTAATTATTCCATATCGAAGAACTTCCTCCTCCGCTATGGTGGCATATTAATATGCTTCTTTTTTATAGCTTTCTATAGATCTTCACATGCGTCATCACTATTTTCATATTATATTGGTAGAATATCTTCATGTAATTTGTTAGATGATCCTATTTTAAATTGGGAGTGCTTATTTAGGCCACATATGGCCTAAATAAGGTAAGGGAGGGGGGTTTAGCTTATTTAGGCCACAGTGGACTGTGGCCTAAATAAGGTAAGGGAGGGGGGTTTAGCTTATTTAGGCCACACATGCTCAAACTACCCTTTTCAGGCAACTGAGTTCGTTCCACTTTCAT